CCTGCTCCTATATTCTTCCTAGCATGTTATGTAGCATTTATTATGGAGCTGCCAATCAGACACAGAAATGGATGTTTTCACCTTTTTGTCACTGCTATTATCTGCTCTGGATAATACATAGATACAAGAATCACCAGGAGCTACAGTTTAATGAGGTTTTGCTTTAGTTTATCCAGAAGCACATCAGATGCCACCCAGCAGCACCACTGAACATGGTTCAACACAGACTGTAGAGTTTCTACTAAATATGTAGTTAATTTGTTCTGCTTACAGCCTCTCTGTTGGCAGTAGAACCTATTCATATTTTTCTGCCTTGTGGTCTACCTAAAAGCTGTGGTCTGTGTGATCTTACTTCTTCACTTCACTTCACTTACTTACTTCTCACTTACTTCTCTCCTACTCCTACAGTTTTGTCCAGTTTGCTTTGTTCACAGTGAAACCAGAAGAGAAGACATTTTCCTTGAGTGTAAAAAAAACAGAGATATTGTCTTAAAGAAATATTTATAGGCAGCATGTTATAGACAACTCCTATCTTTTCTTTCTCATTTCCAATTTAACTGTATGATTTATATATATATATATATGTGTATTGTTGGCACTGACTAATGATAGCAGTAGCTTTTTCATCCCAAACAAAATTTCCAGGGAAACCTGTCATGCTAAAACAGAATTCATCACCCTCCATACTTGGAGCTTAGGTCAAGAAGTGTCACTTAATAATCTTTTACATCAACTCAAATAAGAAAGTCAAGAAAAATGTAATTTCAAGAGCAGAATCTGCACTTGTTCATCTGGATCACATTTATAATGCACAAGAAAAAAAAAGTTTCCCATTTCATTTCCCATGAATGTCTTTATCTTCAGCTTTATGAGTTTTCTGATGGTTCTGGTTTACTCTGGGTGGTGTGGGCTGACACTGGCTGTGCCTAAGTTACCCACCAATGTTCACACTGGCAGTGTTTCTCTTCCTAAGTCACCACTGCACATGGTGGAGTCCTGCTGCCCTGGAGATGGCTGAACACCTGCCTGCCCATGAGAAGTGGTGAATGAATTCCTTGTTTTGCTCTGCCTGCTTGTGAGGCTTTTGCTTTACATGTTAAATGGTCTTTATCCCAGCCCATGAGTTTTCATACTTTTACCTTTCCAGGTCTCTCCCCCATCCTACCAGCGGGGAATGAGCAAGTGGCTGGATGGGGGTTAGCTGCCTGGCAGGGTTAAACCATGACACTTCTGTGGTTTCAATTCTATATTCCATTCTAGTCTTTTTTCTGAAAATCCCACCAAGAACGTTTGTGTCTGGATCAAAATAATGAATTTTTACATTCCCCCTATGACACCTCTGGGGCAGAGGAAGAGCTCCTTTCCCTCTCAACAAAATAAGATAAAACCAGAGCACAGAACAGTTTCCAATTCAAAGATATCTCTGAACTTTCTCCATTTTCACATAAGATGCCCAAGTATATGGCTTTACTAATTTAATTCCCATTTGCTTTACTGTAATATACCCTTTGTAAATGTTAGAAGTCCATCTGCTTGTTTTTCCATCAGAGCCTTGGCATAGTTCCAGCTGCAGATGTGGGAGCTCTGGTGCAAAATGAGCAACAGTTTAAACAGTCTCATTTCCAGACCAAATGTGAAAGCTTTTTCCCTTAAAGGAAAAAATATATATCATAAATCAGTATTTTGTTAACAGGTCCATAAATAAGAGCACTAAACAGGGCAGGCCCATCAGAAATGGACCAAGACCATGAATCTGGGAGCCTTCTTAGAGGGATCTCCTGCTCTCAGTAACTTACAGAATCCCATTTCTTCACCTGTAATTTCAGAGATATTTTGATGAGGAGAAAAGTAAGACTGAACTTCAGATGTGAAGGATGACCCAAACAGTGTGTGCTCATAAGGGATAGTTTTGCCACATGAAAAAGCCAACTTCACAATCCCAAACTCATTCTGTGGAGGGGTAAAATCCCATTTTACTGGAATCAAATCATTAATCATAGATCGTTTCAGAGAAGGATAATGTAATTTACAGGACTGTAATATGTGTACATACTCAAACTCCTTGTAAAATCAAGCAACTGGAATTTTTTTTGTAGTTGTGCTTTGGAAACCACCAATGCTGGTGGAAGGAAGGATCCATGCTGCACAAGATGCTGGTCACAGCTCTGATTTTTTCTGATTTTTTTAATTTAGGTGAAACTCCATCAACATAAAGCCTCTTCCCTCAGCCACCTGGGATGTCATGAAGATGCAGCTGGCAATCCAGGTCTGAGCTGCATTCCTCAGGTGCTGGTCTCCTTTAAGATGGCATGAACCAGGAAATAACTCTTGCAATCAGTAAAGTTTCACTGATACAAACTTTAGTCACAAGGACCCCAGAATACAGACAGGACTATTCAGCCCTATTTACATCCACAAAAGCCCCCAGCCTCACCACACCTGCCCTTTCTGACAGGAGCATGTTTGCATTTCCATCTCTCTCCCATCTCTGCCAAGCAAGCCATACAAATGCAAAAGCCTTTTAGGGTGAATGCAGGGTCCTGTGTTGAGCTCTCTCTGCAAAAACCATGGCACAGGGAAGCAGAAGAGGAACAAAATAAATTGCATGGGGAGAAGACAGCAGTTTCATGGGGAGAGCACAGTACCTCTGTGATGTTCTGGTGCAATAAAGCTCCTGGACAGGAACAGGAACAGAAGAGCATTGACCTGCCCTAGGGACAGACTCTTCACTGCTCCAGTAGTGCTCACGTGGCTGAGAAAAAGCTGGGAAAAGTGCCATGCACTCCAAAATGGTGTACTAATCAAGAACACTGTGTAAAGCAGTCTAGGAAATGTTAAGCAAAGCAATTTCATCTCGACTTTAACCCTTCCCTCCACTCAGTATTTACAGTCCTCACTTTTTCTGTGTTGTGTGTTGGTTTCATGTCTCCAGCTGTTACTCCAGGCTTTGTGAAAGCCTGCTTTCCCCCTGAGCTCTTCTTACAGCACTTTTTCAGAATAGCAGCTAAAGCTTCTTCTTGGTGTGCACCTCAGAAGAGATATTTTCCAAGACAGTTTTTAAGATCATTCTGGTCTTTCACACCTACCTCTACCTCCTCCATCTCTCATTCTTCTGGAAAGCCCCAACCCCACTGCCAGCTGTCTAAAGGCTCAGCCATGTTCATAAGGCCAGTCTCAAAGGACCATCTCTGATACACAGCTTTCTCAGAAAACCCCACCTGTCCTTCTCTATTCAACCTAGACTAGTTAAAAGTAAAATCTCTGTACTTCCCCTCCCAAACAGTATCTATCCCCTTCTATATGGAAAGCACTCAGCTCCTCCACAGCAGACTGACCCAAAAGTGCCCTTTCCAGAGATATCAGATGTTTCAGCTCCATCAGATGGCTTTATTGGCCACTGAGGATCTTATACACCTTCAACATGGTGCATTTTTTACATTTTTATGACCTCTTATAAATAAGACAGTGGTCATTTTCTATTGTTTTAGAATGGCTTCCTGTCTGATAAAGATCAGGGACCAAACTGGGCTGCATAACTTGCAGCTTCTAGAGAATCACTGGAGTGACAGGGGAGGAATACCTGAGGCAGAGACTGCCTGGGCTCTGCCTCGAATAAAATGTGGTCTTTAATTCTGGCAGCATACACAAGCATCACTTTTCAAATACAAAATTCCTCCCACTCAATACTGAAAATTGGACAAAGGCCAGCAGTGTTAAACAGGAGACAGCACTTGTTCTTCCCTCAAAGATGGTCTGATTTGGAAGAAGTGGAGTACAGTCCTGATAAATCTCCCTTAGTTCTGGAGATGCAATATGTCAGCAGGGAGAGAGGGAGCAGGCAGGAGAAACAGCACCTAAAAGAGCCACTAGATATTGTGGTCAGGATCATGCAGCTGAAGATCAGACAGTCAATCTGGAAATAGCAATAAAGGAAAGCAAGGGAGCACAGTGAGAGGCTATGGGCTATTAGAGTTAATAGAAAGAAGTCTTTTGACAGAGCAGGGGGACTTCTACTAACTGCAGATTAAAGCCCACCTTGCTGCTCTGAAGAGATGAAGCTGGTTAACTTGATGTACATTCCAGCTGTAACATGCACAAGCACAGGAGACAGACTGCATGCCAGGCAGAGAGTTTGACTAGGCAGCAATATATATTTTTTTTTCTTTCCTTACTGAAATATTGCTGGAAAACCTTATTATAAATACATCCATGCAGAAAAAAGAATATATTTTCATATCTGCTGCATTAGTGATACTTTTTCCTTGAAGAAAATCCTTACCTACTAAGAAATAGTTAACAAGAGCAAGGGGAAAAGGTGTGCTTCTGGTTTTGTATTTGACACATGCTAAAACTGCAAGACAACAGAGAGCTGAGTTGAAAGTCAGATGTGTTCTGAGCACATTCTGGAGTCTAAAGTGAAGAGGAATAGAGGCCAGCATAGAAAACAAGTGGGGTTTCTCAGAGGTAAAGGTGAAAGGCAGGAAGTAACCTGGTGGAGAAGTTTGAGATCAGCTTTGCTGACAAAGCTTTCCCATGAAAAAGATCAGACACAGAGGTCTGGATGAACCCTATAGATGTCAAAAGGGGAAAAAAACCCCACCTTTTGAGGAAAAAAGAAAGACATGGCATCTAGTCAACAGTATGAATAATCTTCAGGCACAAACTCCTCTCACATGAGGCTTCCTTGAGGATTATGTTTCATTTGGGTCCCTTTCTTTCAATATTCTCCCTCAGAATATTCTGTGATTTTCCCTCCAAAATGCAGTGCTACCCAAGCAGATGATGAAAAAAGTAGATAGAACCTGGAGGATCCAATGTGTTCTGCTTTTCCAGACATGCACATCTCCCACTGAGCCCCAGGTCAGACTGCATCTTCCTCCTTTGGATTGTCATTTCACTATTTCATCATCACTTTCCCCTCCATTTTCCCTTACTCACAGCCTGGAAAAGCACCATTTTACCCCATATTTTCTTACATGTTGATATAATCATATTGCTCACTTTTTTCCTTCTTCATCCCTTCAGAGGTTTCCAGAACATTTCTGCCAGACACTCCTGGGCTGCCTTGTGAAATGACCTTCATTTCCAGACTGCCAAAGGGAAACAGTGGTTCTGTGACTGCAGAATACACTGCAGAACAGAAAAGTTCATTTAGCCCCATTTAGAAAAGTCAGAAAAGTAGAGCACAAGCCTCTCCTTAGGTCTGCAACAGCCCCTGGGATTTTATGATCCACTGAAAATGAAAACAAACCCTTTTGTTTGGAATATGGGATTTATGGTCTTTCCCTGCTTACCTCAGGGGAAGTTTGTGTCAGAATACAAATCTGAGCCCATCTTTCCCTGAAACCCATCTCTCCCTGGACCAATCTCCTTTAATGACTTATCCAAGGAAGAATTTTTCATGTACATGGCTGTTGATTCCCCTGCATTACCTCGGTTCTGCCAGATAAAGGATGAAACATTTAAAAGCAGGCAGGGCAATAATTTAGACATGACTGGGATTTATTTTAAAACAGAACTACCTCTTTGTTAAACATTGCTTTGAAATCCTCAGTCCTTTTTTATTATTATTTTTTTAATATAAATTTTACCTTATCATATACTTTATCATATGCACTTTTAACAACTAGAAAATGCTGCGGTTTTTAGCATATATTATTTAGGTAACATGAGATGACTTTGTTTTAACCAAGCACCCACTCAGACTATTACAAGAAACACCAGGTTTCAGATAAATCAAATTTAAAATAGGCAAACTAAAAAAAAAAAAAAAATCCAACAAAAATATTCTTATTTTCCCCTGTATTATTCAGGATATAATTCAATAAAATCTGAACAAAACCAAAATGTAATAACTAGGGTGATGCAATACTTTTGTAACAACTGAGCATACACTAGCTCTACTTAAACACAAACATTTTTCTGCTGGAAAACTCCATTTTTTAGGGCAGTTAAAATCTTCTAGTCTTTCATTCAGAATAAATGTTAGGGACCATATCACAGTAAATGCCTGAATAAATAAGCACAACTAGCACTAAAATACAAATATTATTCAGTCTAATTTCCTTTGATTTTGACATAACAAATTTTGAAAGTTACAAAGTAGATCACAGTTGTGTGTCACCTGATTGCATCTGATATAAATCTAGATAAAAGGTTGTATCATTTTTAATATATCAGCTTACTTAGAATGCTTTTTGGCTGCTGACACATCAGCTAGATTGCAATGATCAATAAAAGCAAAGAAAATGCTGAGATATTAGAATCTTTATAATTCCCCTAGTCAATTTTTCACACAGTACTTAGTACCCAAGTTTTATGTCTAAACTTGCCCAACTAAAGTTGCAATTCATATGATAATGAAATGTCAAATAAGTCTTGAGCTAGAGATCTAGATATTTAAAGTATCTGATTTCATTAGGAAGCCACTTCTTAAAGATACAAGGAATGATCAGATGTTCTACTCATCTTCTGACAGCATTCAAATAGAAGTGTATTTGTTTAACCAGAATTTAGCTTCCTTCTCATAAATCACTCTCCAAGAGCACTAACATCTCATTACCGATTTACACTTACACATTATATTATCCTGTAATGAAGATGAAGCCTATTAGAACAGACAGTTCACCGTGAGTTCAGGCGCTGAAGAAAAACAGTGATGGATTGCCTGGAAGGAGGGAAAAAAAAGACTGGTTTGCAGATGTTAGGCTTGTTGATTTGGCATCCTGCAAGACCTAGGAAAATTTGTATCAGACAAATTCTCTAATACACCTCTGGTTTTAGCCTGGAACTTGCCAGGAATGCAAACTGTGTTAGAACTGTCACATGTTGTCAGAGGAAAAATTGGCCTTTTTGTACATCAGAGTGGTAAATCAAATCAAAAAGACACATCTTTACACCACTTGATACATGAAACACCCCAACAAATTTTATTTAATTATAATTATTTTAGACACTGGAAGTTTAAAAAAAAAAAAAAAAAAAAGAAAAAAAGGATGAGGTAGTTTTGTTCAAAATAAGAAAAGTGCTGGTACAGCATGAAACCCCACAATACTCTGGTTACCAGCAGAGAATGCATAAAGCATCTCACAATAACTATGCAGCAACGATGAGAGTTTAGCATCATGACAAATACTGCAACAGAAATGTAAGTTCAATGACAACATCAACAATGTAGAGAACAACTGACATATCCAGGGAATTGTAACCAGACACTTGGAACTTATAGGAGTAAGTTCCAAGTGATATGAGATGTGGTTTCAATCCAGAGAAGATGAAACTATAGGAAAAGGAAAGTTTCATAAGCATGATGATGTAGGAACCTGTTTAGACTATCATCTTACAGCTGGAAATTATAGAAATTACTGAGCTGAGTTTGCTTTGCTCTGCATTGTCACCTGAGGCTGCAGCCAGGGGTGACACTGATGTGTCCTAGATGCAAACATGTTCAGAATATTTCTGACAATTAAATGGACATATGTGGACATGGCCTCACATTTATTATTTTCTCTGGGTGCTCTCCAATACACCTGCCTTTGAATTCCTGCAAGCTGACATCATGGTTATAATCACAGAGTCCTTTTAATGCCAAAGTCCCAAAACATTCCAGAGAAACAGCTGATGAGGCATTATGATGTTTGAGCTTGGGTTCTTTGCTGCAGTTCTGTGTGCTAGTGTCATAACCTGTGATACTATACTTTTTTTCCTTTTTTTTTTTTTAATAATCACATCCAAGCAATCACAGAAGGTTATGTGATTCATTACCTACATTCTTCTGAGGAGAAAAATATTCAAAGTAGAGTCCCTAATTTTAGGCAATCACCTTCTGATATGGTAATCAGTCTCTTTGTCAGATGGTGCATTTATAAGTTGTACATGATACATGAGAAAACACATATCCTCTTAAAAAACTGACTGAAGAACACACAAATCCTCCCATATCCAAAACCAAGGGAATTATGCGTAGCATAATGCCTTTCCTTAGGCTAAAATATTTTCATTGCCAACACATAGGTTATGATAGCAATGCTGACCACTAAAATGTCATCTAATTTTAGCATCAGGAAACCAATGTGCATGTTATAAAATGGTCACTCTTCATCTACTGGTTTTTCTTAACAGTCATGACAGAGCAGGAAGGTTTTGCTTTGCCTATCAAAACAGAGTTTGCATTTAGTGAGAAAAGTAATTCTTTCACCTGGAAGGTAATTTGATAACCACTGACTCACAAGAAATAGAAAGATCTGAAGAGTTTAAAATTTCTAAAGTAATTAGGATTCTTTCATTTTGAGAACTTATTCTCTGCCAGAAAACAGAATTGAAACTTCACTCACTTTTCTGCTAATTAGAAATCATCACTGAGCTTTTTACTAATATGATGCTCTTTCTTTTGGATTCTTTGTATATCCATCTTAATTAGCAGTAGTACAGAAAAGCACAGAAACAATTGACACTCCCACTAAGAAATTTTAAGCCCAGCTTGGTGGAAGACAGGCATTTCTCTAGTATATACTTTTCCAGGGAGGATAGATGCAGACATCCATTCTGGATGTAGACCTCCTATGATTTCCAGACTTCCTTGCTGCAGAAAAGTGTTTGGCATTACAGAAATTGGCTGACTTTCCATGCTCTATCATCTGCTCCCAACAGGGTTAATACCACAGAGATAGGAAAGAAAAAAGTATTAAAGGAGAAAAAAAAGAAAAAGAAAAAAAAAAAAAAAAGCCAGTCTTGATGATTGCACCTTGCTCCAGTTGTGTTTGGATCAAAGGGGATAAACATGCAGGCTGTAACACCATTTGCTCACAGGCAGTGCAAACACTACTGATATGGCACCGTCTGATCTGCAGCATTCCATCTGCCAGCTGCAAGAACGAAAAAGGGAGAGCAATTAAGAATATTAATCAGGGCTTGAAGTGCTGCATGATTCATGATTCACATGAAGAAAGACCAAGATATATCAAAGGATAATGTGTTTACTTAAAATAAAATAGAAGCATGATTTCTTTAGTCCTGCATATTTAATGCAGTACATTTTTTATCCCTGACTGCACTGAACCTTTCTCAGATCTCTTGCACTCACTTTGAATAGTCAAGCATTTAGCTCGATCTATCTCAGTCTAATTCAAGCTGCTGATTACTGATTATTTAGAAGCACTGACTTAACATTAGAGCATCAGCAGCTAGATTATTTCCCTGGTGATCTTCATTCTGGTATTTAATAATGTCATTTCATCCATTCCAATTAGACTTTTCTACTAACCAAAAAAAAAAAAAAAAAAAAGAAGAGAAGAGGGAAAAATTTCTACTAGACCTGGGTAAATGTACAAAGTATAACAGAATTTAATCCTTTCTGTGAAATTGCTTGGGAATATTAGCAAAACCAATCTACAAGTTTCATAGAGAAAAATATCTTTTCTGTACAGAAGAGGTATTTCTATAAAGAATTTCAGCTTCTGCTGAGGAGCCATGTCCCCATGGATAAGTGAAGAACAACACTGTAAAGATACTTAAAGTGCTTAAAAATGCAGATTGGTGCCCACTGGGATTTCATAAATCCTTAATAGATATGTGCAAGTAGAAACCATTGTTCAAAATCTAAGCAAATAGAACATCTATTCAGAAATCCACCCAAGAAAATGGGTGCCATACTGCCTTCTGTTTGTATGAAAGCCCCAGAAACAAAATCCTTTTCATTGCTGCTCACCAGGCTATATGGCCTTCTGGCTTAGAGGGGCACTTGGGACACAACAGGCACCACCAAAGCAGGGTTTTTCTGCACACACACCCCTAAGGTGGACAGAAGAAACATCCAGTGCAATCTGTCCTGGCCAGCAGTCTGCCTCCAGATCAGCACCATCCCTTGCACATATCTGGGAATTGGAGGAAATGTTCATCATGGATAACAAACCCAGGACACCGATGGAGGTTAATTGCTGCTCTCAAAAAGCTGACCTCCAGAGAAAAGCTGCAATATCCACAGCTAGGGAACCAAAAAGTAGCTCAAACTGACTAAAGTGCTTATTGAAGCTATTCAACTTCAAAATTAAGATCATATTCCTGAGTTGAAGCTTCACATTATTTTGATTCCGTCTCTTTCCAGAAATAAACAGGGCTCAAGATTTAAAAGTATCAGGTATTAAAGGAAGTCTCAGTTTGGAGTATAAAAATGACAAAAACTATTTTATGCATTTTTTAAGGTAGGGCTTTTTTGGCTTTTTTCCCCTGGATTTTAGGCCACACAACAGTTTGTACCTGTCAGGACAAATTAAGACAATGATGTATGTAATTTTCACAAAAAAAAAAAAAAAATCCTGGCTTTGAAGTAGGCTAAAAAGAGCCTTTAGGAAGTTAAAGAACCTCAGACAGAGGCCTTTAAAAAGATTAACCTATGAAAAGTGCTCACAAGCTCTGCAGTAGAAGCTTGACAACCCTAGGCTGCCTTTGAAAACCATCCAAACATAGGCTTTAGATGATTTGGAATCATTTAAAGAAGGTCTGCATGCCATCTTTAGCAATAAAATAAGAACCATGGCACTTGATATCTTCTGTCATTAAAAGCTGGAGTATAACATTAAGCAGGTTGAAAGCAGATGGCACACTAAAATTGAATGTGTAGGTGAAAAAAAAAAAAAAGTAGGGCTAGATGGAGAAAAGCACATTGAATTACTACCTTTTGTGAGCAGGCAACATAGCAGTGGGGGAAAAAATACAGAGTACAGTATGCATTTATATGTGCCAGTTTCAAAAATGATCTGAGCTTTTGCAAGAATGCATGAAGTTTAACTTTACAAAATGCAAGGGGCAGACTGGGTATGATGACTGCCTTATTCAAGTATTGCTGTTAGGAGGGGTTGAGCACCTGGATGGCCTGTTCTTTGCTCAAAGAAGGAAAACCTACATCAAAGCAACGTTTCTCTTTTTTACTGAAAAACACATATAAGGGACAGCTCTTTGGAAAAGTTCAGTAAGGACTGAACAAGTAACAAACTTGATACAAAAAGTCTTCAATGTTGGAGTCTCTGAAAACTTCATTTTAACCTGTCTGGTCACATTTTGTTTGTTGCACTTCCCACCACTGCCTTTCTCATAGCCTCCAATATATGTCTGCATTAACCCCTTCTTCAAGCACAGTAAAAGATCTCAGAAGTTAAATCATTGCATGTTCTCAAAAAGAAGCTGTGTCCAAATAGTTGACATTCATCATCTGCCCATCATCAGTCAGAAAATTCTGTTTCCAGCACCAGCAGTGTCCAGAGTTTAAATGGTTTAAAACCGTAGGACTGAGCACACCAGAGTAAAAATCCTGAGTGCTTATTCAGAAAATGCTCCAAAATACTGAGGGGGCACCTCTGGGAAATGTCAATACCTGTCCCACAGAGTGGTCCCCTGGGGTTGAAGGGACAGGGCTGAGGGGATAGTTTCTGTTCATGCCACATGGTCCAGAGCAAGCAATCCAGAACCACTTGTACTATCCAAAATGACAAGGAGGCTGTCTGTCATGTAAATTTAGACATCACATTCCCCACTTTGGAAATTCACACATGCTATACCGTACCTTGCACAGTGAAATCTCCATTTCTATATCCAGATATATGCACATGGAGCAACTCAGGCATAACTCTGCAACTGAAAACAAAATACAGCTTAATTG